TGGCAGCTTGATAACCACATAACGTTTCCCTGACCTATGGCAGAAAAGTACTGAAATGATTAAGTGGTTTAAAGGCTATACTTACAAGGGATTTAGAAGATGGAGTGCATAATAGAATTATGCAGAAAAGCAGTTTTATTATTTTATTCAGAAAAATCAGCTTGGTATATTGTCCTTTTATTTCAGAAGTGTTCCTGTTAAATATAAACTGCAAACATTTTTTAATCTTACCTGTTAATCTGTAAACACATTAAGGGGAAAAATAATTTCCCAGATCATACTAGAATTACTAAATTAGTTACTACTTTTTATCACAGCTTCTCTTGGTCTATAACAAAAGACATTATCTGTGAATCTTTACCTTCAGTTATAAAGGGTAGGTTAAAATATTCTGCAGTCATACTGTCATCATGAAAACTGAAGTTGCATGGTTTGATAAGACCAGGTTTTGACTCAGTTTGTTTATCTAATGGTAGAGAAAGATGCACTCCTGCTATTTTTACATGATAGACATAAAGTGATGTGATTCATCTTGCCTAGATCTAGTTGAGTAAATTAATCATGTAGCTCGCTTGATACTTGATAAAGAGACATACATATTTCCAAAGGTCAGTTAATCTCCTCCTAAACAGAGAGATGAAGAGATGCACATAAATGGTTATTGAGAGCTCTCTCACTGCAGCAGCACAAAATTCAAGACAAATAATTTATCTGTCAAAAAATATGCATGTTCATACACCCTGAACTGCTTGCAGAGTGGTTGCAGTTTCTCAGACTCTCGTATTACACATATTGCCTACGCCGTATGTAGTGGTCTAAACAGCAAGGGTGATTTTGTGCTTAGGTACCACTTTGAATTAAGCTGTTAATTTTCTGTAACACTCATGATACACCCAAAGGAAGAGTCTAATTGAACCTTGCTTTATTTTATTCCAGTAGCGGATAGCTCTTCACTTCTGTCTTCATCACAATTCTCGAGTGCCATTGTCCCCTAATATCTGTAGCAGTCAGAATCCTTCTAGTCACCCTGGTTTTTACAAGCTTTTTATGCTAGAGAGAAACACAAAATAAAAAGCAAATTATTTTTATGATTAGGCAATTTTATTTTCTTCAATACAATACTTCTTCCTCTATTTTCTGTAGCTTTGTTTTTTGTCTGCCACTTCCTCTGATTAGGAGCTGGATTTTTGCTTGTTATCCTTTGATGTCCTTCATAGGATCCTAGGATAAGTCAGGCGGCAAGGGACCTCTGGAGGTCTTCAGTCCAATGTCAGGAATTTGATCAAGCTGCTCAGGGCTTTGTCCAAGTCCAGTCTGTAAAACCTCACAGCTGGCAGACTTTATGACATATCTGGGCAGCCTGTGCCACTCCCTCTCTGACTATCTTTACATTAATTCTACACTTGCTTTGTTTATTAATAAGTATATTGCTTTACTACATACTGTAAATGAATAATACAAAGAATAAAAAAAAATTGTGTTTTCTCCCCCCAGATTAGTTTCTGAGTGAGAAAAATACAGAGAAATAACTACCCACTACCAGCACATGATATATCCTTGACAGAACCAACACAGCTCTGACTTGAACTCTCAGTGGTAGAAATTAGGACTCATATTTCAGAACAGTTTCAAGACTATCTGACTGGGCTGGCAGTGCAGACTGGTGCCCATCTCTAGTTCTTCTCCATTCTAAGGGTATGAGTTTTCTAGAAGTACTTCACTTTGAATAGTCCCACTGAAAATCAGAAAGTGAGACAGCTCCTATTTGTTTTTCTGATTGCTCCAATAGTTTTTATTGATTTGAAAGTTATGTTTCTTTAAGAAGAGAATAAATGGATCTCCCCTGTATGGAGACAAGGTTGCCCTTTCCCTGGGAAATGGTTTGGATGACAGAAGTGTCCGTCTGCTGGTGTGGATGGGGGAGAGCAAGAGTCATAGCAAAACAACCCGGGAACCTGTAGTCTACTCAGAACATAAGAGGCTGCGGAGAAGCACAGGGAAGAAATAACCAGACCTTCACGGTGATGGAAAATAACTGCTTGGGATCAAAGAACACTTGGCTGTTTGCTTCACCTCAGAAATACACTTAGTTGTTTGAAACCAAACTTGAAAGGAAGGACAGTCAAAGGGAGAGGTGCTCACATGCATTGTGTCTGTTCTAGATGTTCCAATTGTTCTCAGTCACAAATTCCCTATTAAAAGTACTTAAATCTGTCTTCTTTTAGTTTAAAAGCCTTTTGTCTGCTTTGGAAAGATGTCTATAGGGAAAAGGTACAGACATGCATCTCAGTGCTTTGGCTGTCTCTGAGTCCTGTCACAGAAAATGTTAGCAGAGAGCATGTTTTTTGCTAAAACTGGCTTGTTTAGTTTGACTTGCTGACTCATTTTTCCAGCTGGTCTGTCATTCTACTCAATTCCAGATGAGGCAATAGGAAAAAGAAAACTCGTCTGAATGTTCCACCCTCTTGCCAAACCAAGTAACAATTAAAAACTCCAATTTTCATTGGAGTTCTTTATCTCTGTTAATTATCCAAGGAACAGTAAATCAGATATATTGTCCTCTGCTTGTTGTCAATAATTTAAATTCTAAATTATTTATAGATTAATTTCAGATTTAACATCCACCTTCTTTTCCCTAAATTACATACCATTTTGCAACTAGAATCCAATGCCGTGTTTCATTTTTACATTTGAGATCAACTGCTAGGCAGTCCAGTCTGACTCGTGTTTTATATTCACACAAGCAAACCCACATGACTCAGTCTTAACTTACATAAGTAGTTACTCTGAATCCAAAAGAGACATCAAGTCACTCAACTATCTAACTGGTGGCCTTTAGTGGGGTTTTTCTTATTTCACCATCATTTTTGGGAGGAACGTAATCTGAATCAAGTGTTTCGTAGACACTAAACTGGCAGCAGTGTTGAGTCCATGAAAGAACAGGAGTTTAATAAGCAGAGACCTTGTGGGCTGAGAGATACGAATAGAAACTAACATTGTGACGTTCATCTTGGAAAAATAGAGGGTAATTGAATAGAAACAGAAAGATCCATTAGAAGAGTTATAGCTGACATTTTGTAAAAGAGGTCAAGAACAAATGGGGGATGGCAAATGTAACTTGAATTTACAATGTGATACAGTATTAAAAAAATAAATGAGTTGCAGACATATCAGGTGAAGTCATGTTCACACTGTAAGTATTTTCAAGGTAATAAAAGGCAGTTTTCATCTGTCTCTATCCATATGAACTATGACAACAAAATTTTACCATCACACATGTACAATTATTGCCATACCTGTCTGGGTAGCTAGAACTGTAATTTGCTTGACTCATTACTGAGAAATGATGCTGTATGGGATAGTCTTATTAGTTTTATTGAAAAACTTCAAATTTTGTCAAAAAAACAAGCACCTGAATCAGCATCCAGAGCAGCAGAGTAGTTGTTTTATTCTTCTTTTAACTGCAGAAACAAAGGGTTTTGCATGGATAACGCAAATCAAAACGTATGTTAATTAAAAATGACATCTAGTACAAAGCTTTGTTCACCCTTCTTGCTTATAGGGGTCAAAACTAATAAAGTTTCATCAATTGCTAGCTGCTGACTGATGATTTGGAGCTACTCTACAGCTCTTGGTTAATATATAAGCTCTGATTATGTCACGCAATTTTTGTGGCTTATTTGACAAATGAAGGTATAGGTAGCAATCACACGTGCTAAATAATGTGATGAAAATTTGTATAAATAATCATTGAAAAACTTAGCAATGATCAGTAGTTTACAAGGAGTCTCTTTATATTGTGACTATTACTTAAAAAAAACATTATTCAGTTATAGCCTGCAAACAAATTAGTTGTACTATGTTTTAATTTTAAACAGTTATCATGTTCCATAGAAAGGAATATGTGCTCTGATTTCATGTTGTGATTTGTGATTTATAAAGTGAAGTGGTGAAGTTACAGGTCCATAAAGAAGGAGACACTTGAAAAGGAAAGGCAGTCTGGTCCTTGAACATTCCTTCAGAGGGACATGATAGCAGTGAAGAGCTTATTAAAACTCTTGGGAATACATTTTTCCAACCTTTTACAGAAACACTCAGCTTTGGATCAAAGTATTCAGCCAGAAGCTGAAATACAGTGTTTGTAATTTTTCTACATGTCTTGTAGGAGTTTTAATTTGTGTACAGCAATACCAGCATTTATTTTTAATTTTTCTCATTTGAATCAGACAATTTGTGTGGCAAATAATTTCACCTGAGAAAGCTGTTTTCAGTCCAAAACATGGATAGAATTTGGTGAATTCTTCTGAAGCCGTGACTCCCCTCAGTGTCTGAGATAGATGGGAGTTGCATTACCTAAACAGCATAGAATTATGCTTATAAAACACATAGCTTTAATGTATATCAAGAGCTTAAAGGGAGATATCAGAAGCTTAACCCTTTCGTGGAACTCTGTTGAAGTAATTTAGTGGTTTTACACAAAGAAGCCTGAAAGTCTGAGCAAAATAGGGATTTGTTTTCTGTAGTATCTGAAAATGTCATCTTTTTTTCCTGAAATTATTTTATATCCTAAAAAAACCTGTTTTGCATTGCTTTGAATTCTACTTCCATGCATATATTCATTTTAATTCATTGTGAGCATCTAATGTTGACAGGAGATTATGTCAACTAATTTAATAAACCTGAAGAGTTAAAATTACCACCCTAGGAAAAATAAAAAATAAATTTAAATGGTTCGTGGAAGGTAACAAATGTAAGAGCATTAAAGTATGAAAGATGTATGAAAGAACATTCTTCCTGACTTCTACTTCATGGATCAAATAATAGGAATATATAAAATATAATAAAAACAGTGTATCTATTATGATCATAAAAAGCACAAAATTCACAGTTTTCTCTTCCTCTTCAAATTCATGAAAAATCCAAGTATTGTTAACTTGAGAGTCACAGCTAATTAATGGCCTATAGTTATGTTATATGCATTGTTTTTTTAATTTGCATAGGTACGTGTGTTCACATTTTCTGTTGGTCAACATAATTATGACAAAGGACCCATACAGTGGATGGCCTGTGAAAATAAAGGTACTGTGTTTTTCATTGAGACAGTTCTTTGCTAGAGCTTTGGACAGGCAATGTCTTCATTAATGTCTAAAAAATACAGATCTTTTCAGCCTGATTTTTAGCTTTGTTGTATTTTTTCAATAAAAGATTCAAAGTTATTTGATGAAGTAATGTCTATATGGGTGCATATGCATATATAAAAAGCATAAGCTTATTTATTTCTGATTACTGTGTTTAAAATATTATATTGTAAGAAAAGTATCTTAGTATTTTTTATAAGAATAGTAATAAGACATTATCATTCAGTTTTGAAAATTCATTTTGTAATAGCCATCTATGAAAAGATGAAACTGAGGACAGATGAGAAATTAAGCAAAGCTGTTTTATATTAAGGGGTCTGGACAAAGGGTTTATTTGTTTAGTTGGTTGGCTGGTTGGATTTCTTTCTGTTTTTCTCCAAAACTTACATGGGACCAGATGACTTGCATTATTTTTTTCATTTTTTGAGGAAAATATTAAAATTATTCTTACTGTGGTTTCTTAGCTTCTAAGGGCCTCTTACATTTTTAATTTTCATCCCAATTTCTTTATGTAGGGAATAAAAAGGTAAAAAAGGTTAAAGTAAGGAAATAAAATGCTTTCTCCTAAAATTTCTACAAGAAAAATGTGGTCAGAAACATTTAAAAAAGGCGTGAGAAAGAGGTGTCTCAAATACCTTACAATATAATTATGGAACAAGAGATGAGATAAATACAGATAAAAGGAAAACAGAGAAATTATTAAACAATATTATTTAATATTTTAAACAGAACAATTTCCAGGCCTGACCAAAAATGTGAATGTGTTTATGAATCAGAAAGAAGGAAGAGGTGAGAGGTGGAGTAGGTTACAAAGGGTCTTGAAAATTAAGACTGTCAGGGAAGGAGGATAAGATACGATTCTTAGGCATGAGAATAACATAAAATAAAGGTAGGAGAAAGAGAAAGATATAGATACAGAAAAAAATAATAGTGTAGAAGAATCCATAGCCTGTATGAATAGCATACATATAGCCTCAGGAATCCCTCCGGACGCTGACAAGTCATGCAGAAGATACTACAACTTCATGAAGAGCAAATTGTATTGTCAAATAATTATAGAAAATCAGCATTTGTCTTTTTGAACAGGGATTTTTAACTAACAGCTTTATGTCTCAAAATAGTGCATACATGTGAACTCCATTAATTTATAACAAATGAGGACCAGCTGGCTTAAAGCATAACCACCTATGTCATCTTGTTATGGAGGCAAAATGAGCATAATCTTCTGTCGAAAAGTGAAGTGACAATTTTTTTGCATATCCAAAGAAGCAAAATTTTGTTTAATTTTTCCTTAATTAAAAGTTTTTATTTGCAAGTCACGCATTGCTTATGGCAAAGTAAATGCCTGACCTCAGTACTTTGACCTCTGCAGTCCTCGCCTCCTTCCAATTTCACTTCCAGCTTACTTGGTTACGCTTGTTTACGCTGGATGTCAGTGCCTGTCTTTTCAGTCTTATTGGTGCATATGGGGCAATAATTTTAACTCAAACAAATAAGTGATATAATCAGTGATGAATAAAGACGTTTCTGATGTTTAGTTAGAGGAAATACCGGTTTGATTTTTTCATCCTTTCCATAGAGTGTCTTCTACTTTTCTACTATGAACTTCACTGTTGTGGCAGACTGTAGCTATACTTGCACTCCTGCATGCATTCAGCATAAAATTATGTTGCTGTCATAGTGTGTTAAAAAGACCCTTACATATACTCGCACATCAGAGTAACTGGGAATTTAGGAGTACAAATTCAGTACCTTATCTCAGCTTTAAATCAACAGACTGAAGAAACCCGTTGTATACTCTCAATGCTTAAGAGTAACTAGCTTGGCCTATATGGTATGGTGACTCATCATGTGTGGCCACATGTTGTGATGGCATCTGCTAAAAAAGTATTCCATTCACATGTGAAAATTTCTATAAAAATTAAATTAGAAATCACAAGCTAAATGAAATGCCTCAAGATTAAAAGACTAGAAGTACATTATAGTAAGATGGCATTATTTCTGTTCCAAATTTTAGGTTATTACTATGAAATTCCATCCATTGGAGCCATAAGAATAAATACCCAGGTAAGTTCATTGGCCAAATGCAGATGCAATTGTAACACAATCAAGTGGAGCAATTTCTGTTCTTAAATATGTTGCATTTCACCTCTGAATCAATTAAATTTTAAGATACTACATAAAAAATAGAGAAAAAAATAAAGGGTTTTTTATGTATGAGGTATTATTCTGTTAAAGTATTCTAATTTATTTCTTTCTTTTTAGTAGTCTCAGCGAGCCAATTTACAATGTGATCCCTGCTTCCCTGGCCAGCTGGCCTATAGCAGCTTGCATGCATGCTGGTCACACTAGCATCCTCTGAAGCAGGCTGACCATGTGCGCACAACGTAGCGTTTGAAGTGATCTGCATCCTGCAGACCTTCTCCGCACAAGGATTATGTTCTGGGCTCAGTTTTCCTCCTGGCCTTACATAGTCCTTTGATCCTGAGATACGCAACAATTTTTTTCTAAAGTTCTATAAAAGCAGTGATTGTTTATAATGCGTCTAGACATTCATGGTCTGGCTCCTACCCTACTTCCAGCACGATCTTAAGGGTGTGTAATACGTGGAGAAGGCTGTGGGTGAGGGCACGGCCCTACTAGAGCATCTGAACTCAGCTAAACAGTGACCTGGTACAATCCCGCTTATAGGAGAGGTTCTGGGATTGATCCAACCAGTCTGGGAGAGACACAGCTTTCTTCCTTCAAAAAGGATGCCGGACTATTTTTGCAGCCATGTGTGGGGATAATTAAGGGCACAACACCCTGGAATTATATGGTGTGATCCAAACTGACAGCGTAGATGAACAGATATTTTTTTCAGTTGTCTGAAAGTGCATGTATTCACATGTGCAGAAAAGCAGAGAAAGATCATTCTTTGTCCTTCCAAGGCCAGGCATGACATTTCTGGGCAGAAAATGAGTCCTTTTTTGGCTTGTATAAGAGTCCTTTGATTCTGTTAAACTCTTCCAGATAGTGTCTGGCAAGAAATATCCCTAATATGATCAGACAAATAGAAAAGGTTGAAGACTGAAACAAGTTTGATGGCATCCACTTCCAAACCAGACCAGAAGTCTGACATCTCATATGATCACCAGCTTTAGCTGTACTCCATGACTGAAGGAAGGCAGGGATTATCAGGTTTTTAAACTCTGAATTTCTTGTTTCAGTAGAAGTTCTGCAAGTTCTTGCTGTAGGAGCTTAACATGGCCAGCTGCTACACCACTCACTGTCCCATCGCCCACTCTCTCTTGTGGGTAGAAGGTTCTGCGATCTGCTTGTAATCTTATTATGTCATTAGCAATTAATTTTGGAACAGAAATAGTTGTAATCCTCACTACGTGGAAAGAGAGCAGTGATTATGGATGTGTAAGATCCATGTGACTGAGACTGAAACACAGGAATTGCCTTGGCAGTAAACACTGCAAACTGAAGACTGGATTGTTGGGTAGTAAAATTTTAAAGAATTAATTAAATACAACTCCTGCACTACTCCTATTAGTGGTGAATTTTGACTTGTGTTTACTGGTCTTTTTGTTGTTTTTATTTCATTGTTGTTTATTTTTTATGCTGTTTCTGGACTTGGTCTGATAACTGTCTTCTGATGAGTTTATTGCACTTTTTGGCAGGAATATCTGGATGTTTTGGGAAGACCAATGGTTTTAGCTGGAGAGAAAGCCAAACAAGTCCAATGGACAAATGTTTATCTGGATGCTCTGGTATGATCTGTATTTATCTCTAGTAAAGTAAGAATCTTAGCAAATCAGTAGCTGTAGGGGCTCATTTTTCACATTCCTGAGGACTCAGTTTCCTACAATTCCAAATGTAATACTCTTACATTTCCAGCATCTATAGACTTCAAAAGAGCAATTTCCTGAACAGCTGTTTCTAACATGCTGGTCATTACTTGCACCTAGCATCCTCCTAAGTGTTGTGAACTTTAACAGAGAAAAGCAATTTATCCTATGCACAGATCTTTACTCGCAGGTCATTGGTGTCTTCAAATTAACAAAAGAAAAAAGAAGCAAATAGTTTTCCAGTCTTGTACCTGTGCTGCAGTAGAGGTCATATATTATGTTACTGGTGTGGAGTTCTTTATTTTTTTAAGGCTTTCCAGACAGAATGAAATCTGTCCAGGTTACTGGGTATTCACACAGATTTGAACTTGGATCTTTAAACTGTCATGGTTGTTGTAATTACTTGCTTGCTCAAGGTAATGATTTCTTTAATTGGACAGTGTATATAATGGGGAAATAAACAAAAAGATATATTAAATGCTTTCCTTAATGCTGAATTTATCAATTTGGTCTTGTTAAACAAACATATTCAGGAAACTACGAAATGCGAAGTATTATTAGCAGCAATCCACTCTGTTGCTCTAGATAACCTACATCTAAGTAACTCTAACTAGGCAAAAATTACTGCAAAATGGTCATCTGGAATCATGTATTTATCAAAGTTCACATGGTCATCTAATGTCATGTCAAAATCCACTTCTTCCTCTCAGTCAGCATTACTGTAAAATTTTTATCAACACATCATAGAACTGAGCATGACACAGAGGAACCAGTTTTTCTTCTGAATTTCAATATCCAGAAGTTCATTAACCATGTTTTCTTGATTAATGTTGAGGTACTTACTGGAAACATAAACGATGTTATAATGAAAGATCATATGGTCTGTACATATCCTGTTGTAAAGCCAAAGCTAAATTTGTAACTGGGGATGGAAAGAGATCTGTTTAATGAAGTAAAACAAGTGATACCTGCAGATCTCTGTTGTGTTGCTTTATATTTTCAGTGGCTTCATTCAGTCTTTCCTTCAAACTTTTCTACATTCATGTGCTATGTACGTATGTTTGTGTATAAATAATTCTGTCTATATATACGTTTTTGTGTGTGCATACATATATATTTGTAAAAAGTAGGACATGATCTTTTTACTAAAATATCTACTAAGTGAAGACCAACCCAAGATAAATTGTTGAGGTGAAGGCTGAAATTTGTGGACTTTCTCATCACAGATGAGAACATAAAGGCACAGGTATGTCTAATCCACTCTGGAGCCTTTTCCTGCTTCTTGGTTTTAGCAGAGATTGGGACTAACTTGTCACACTGGTTCTTTATCTTAAATTCCCTAAAGCAATTCCATCCTGTAGGACTTGCCCTTCTCCTACTTGTGCCTTGCTGGACTTTTTCCTATCCTTTTTCTCTTACAGTCCAGCAGCTGCTTTGGGGCTAAGGCTAAAAGAATGCAAAGTGTATTACATGAGGCCACATTTGAATTGAACTTAAGTTCAGGTTATGAAATCCTGAAAAGGTACTTTCATTTGACACTGTCTTTCAAGACCGTCTTTAATAATTTGATGTATTTGTGGCAATTCACGCCTCTTTTCTTGCTCTGTTCCTTCAGATTTTGTTACAGTGTTGCTCTGGCCTCAGTTTCTGCAAGATAATATCAGAATTTCCAGATACTTCTAGGTTTACCAGTTAGTCATAATTTGTTCACAATTATTGTCCTCTCTAACTGCATGTTTTTGGGGGAAGGTGGGTTATCCCCCATACATACCCCTCCTGTTTCATTATGTATCTCTTCAATGCTTCTGAAAAATATCCTGCTCTCTCTTTTCTTCTGATTCATCTCAATTTCTTGTTTCTCTTATTCTCTTAAAAACTCCACTTTTTCTCTTCACCTCGCTTGTTGTAATGTTACTAACTCTGATCTCATCACCTTTGATTTGATACACAAACTTAAGTTCGTGAAGGAAGGTTTAAAATTCAAAAAGGTGCTACTGGACTGGGCAAATGGAAAAATGGTTTCATCAGAGTGGATTAATAAAATATTTTAGCTTATTTTTTCCTAATGAAACAAAGTCAGAGAGGGGGGGGGGGGGAGGCAGTAAATTTGAAAATAAAATAAAACTTTATGATAAAAAAAGCTCAAAGTCAGCCTGTGGACAATTTAGAATGGAAAAAAATCTTTTCAGGCTGTCTGAATGTATAGTTTTCTGGATGCTATTTTCAGTATGAGTTGTGATTGTTAAGAAAGGGAAAACCAAATCTATTATATCTTCCCAAATAAGTGCAAATCCCTTGCCTCAGTACCGGAAGAGTCTATGTGATTTTGCAGAACTGAGGAAGGACGCTATTGCAAGCCATTGAAATGTAGTGATGAGAAGAAAAGTAGTAGCGTTACCTGTTGGATTTTTCTTTTGATTTTGCCTGTATGTATTTGTTGCCTACCTATTTACTATCTTTAGGTTTGGTTTGGCTCTCTACTTTTTTTTCTTTTTTTTTTTTCTTTTGCCACTACTATCTTGATGTTTTAGTATAATGTGAACTGTAGCTGTAAACATGTTTTCAGAACATTCAGCTTTTATTGAACTGTTATAGCCTAAGTTGCTGCACACATTCTGTTTTTAAAAAGTATTTTGTTATTCTCACACATGAACACAAAAAAACGTAATTTTAAGTTTCTATGTGTAAAATCAAGGAAGTATTATTTTTTTTTTCTTTTTTTTTTACAAACTAAAACTCAGTATTCTAATGTTTTGCTAGAGTAATCCCAGGATTCTTCCAATATATTATAGTTCAATATTTGTTACTTAACTAAAAAGTCTTTTTCTCCCCTCTATATGTGATTATTTCCTAGGAGCTGGGCCTTGTGATTACAGGAACTCTACCTGTCTTCAATCTAACAAAGGAACAAAATGGGAAAATAGTAAGCTGTTATTTAAAGGAAAAAAAATCAGTTATTTCAATTAAATTTAATGCTAAACTCCTTGAAAAAATGTGTATTTCCATAAAGCTTCTACAGTTTGATTGTCTTGTACATCAGACAGTTGCCCAACCTAATCATGCAATAATAGCTCCATATTGGTGCTCGTAATTTAGTAGCTAGATCACTGGCAATGTTAATGCATCACTTTCGCTTTCACCTGTTTTGTTCTTACATTTGTTGTTTATTCATCCAGGAATGCATCCATATTCATCTTTAGAAACAGTTTTCATGTTCCGTGTTAAATTCTGAAGTATTGAATGTTATTTTAAATTGCTTGGATATTATTTAAAATATTTAGGATAGACAAAAAAATAGGCAACTTTTCAAGTAGTATCTGGCAAACAAGGTGAAGGCAAAATCAAAATTCACTGACTGTTGCAGTTATTCTGCACTGTAAATATGCAAAACATGTTCTAACATTTTTGAATCTTGCTAGAATCAGCTGATTCTTGGAGTAATGGGGGTTGATGTCTCTTTGGAGGACATAAAAAAACTGACACCCCGATTTACGGTAAGTTGCTTGCATTGGTGGTTTCTCTTTATGTCTGATTTATGTATGATTTCTTTGGATGCTCTTTCATGAGTCACACAGCAATGACTGGATGAAAGTCAAAATAACAGCAGGCTTCTTTTCATATATTCTTTTTTATTGTGGTAGATTTTCTGACAGTTTTCTCTCCAGCCATATATGTGCTTCTGTGTGAATTTCCATCAAGATCCATCTGTAAAAGCCAACTTTTACATGGGAGGATATATTTCAAGTAATTATTTTCCTGTAGCTTAAGGCTCTGCTGTTTAGTTGAGTGTTTGGTTCTTATCACAGAGTAGAGTAGGCACACATTTCAGCTAATAATAATACTTAGCTTTTATATAGGACAGTTCTTTATAGAAAAGTTCCTTAATGTGCATGTCCGTCTGTACCCTACTTGGTATGATTGATTTATATACGTACACTTTTAGCTGGGGAATTTCTGACAAAATGACTAGTACTGTGGAAAACAACAGATGAGGAAGAAAAGGAACGTCAAAAAATTCGACTGAAGGCAAATGCAGAGTCCTGCATCTGGAATGGAATAATCTCATGCCACAGTCCCATCCCCTACAGGCTGGGACAGAATGCCTCAAAAGGCAGGAAAGGGCCTGGGGGTCATGGTGGAGGACAAGCTGAACATAAGTTAGCGGTGTGCCCTAGCAGTAAGGAAGACCAGATGTGAACACCTGCAACTGTGTCCAAATTTGATCTTCTCAGTACAAGAAATACACGGAGATGCTGGACAGAGTCCAGTGCAGAGCTGCTAAGTTGGCCAAGGGACTAGAGTGCTTGGCAAATGAGAAGCTGAGAGAGATGGGTTTGTTAAGACTGAAGAAGAAACCTCATGGGTCACCTAATGGAAGTTGTGGAGAAGATGGACCTCAACATTTTTTGAAGATTTATAGCAAAAGACAAGAGGCAATCCACGTAGTTGCAGCAATGGAAATTGTAACTGGAAATAAACTAAAAAGAAAATCATTGTGAGGGTGGTTAAACACTGGAACAGGTTGCCCAGAGAGGTTGTGGACTTGCCATTAGAGGTATTCAAAGACATTTTGAAACCTAGTTCAACTTTCATGTTGGATCTTATTTTGAAGATAACTCTGCTTTCGGTGAAGGGTTGTGCCAGGTGACCTCCAGTAGTCCCATCAGCCTAAATTTTTCTCCAAGTTTATGATTCTAAAAGAGTAATTATTAAGAAATTACCTTCTTTGCGTTAATATCTCACATATTTCATCATGCCTGAGACAGTGTATTTTCCTTAATGTGACCATTGCTTCAAAACCATTAATAAATCTTTCTTTATTACTTAGAACCTTATAATGCTAAACCTCTTTTCTTTCTTTCAGCTTTGTCCAAACGGATACTATTTTGCAATTGATCCTAATGGGTATGTGCTACTTCATCCAAATCTCCAACCAAAGGTATGAAGAACTTTCTAATTTATTTCTCTTTAATAAGGGGACATTGTCAGAAAGAACAGAAACATCTAAGATCTGCTGAAAGTGCCAAAAAGCCAGAGAGCTATAGTAAAGATTTCTCAATTGTGGGGGTGTCTGAAAAATCCGTGGTGTACATATGGTTTCATCTAAATCTGCTTTAGTCAGCACAAAGGCCAACATCCCCTCTTATTGAATTTGGTTAGCAATAAAATAAAAAACGTGTATATTTTACACACACAATTTTGTATGTGAAATATGTGATTTACTATAACTATCATTACAAAAACAACTAGTGGTAGTTGTAATAATACTGTGAATGACAGAGTGTTGCAAGATGCTCTTGAAGCAAACTTGGAGGAGGTTACTAGTGCACATGTTTATTTTGTGATGCTTTCTCATTTCAGAAATCGAAACTTCCATACTTGCAAAACCACAGAAACTGGGGGCAAACACAATGTATTTTTCTTCTTTTTTTGTATCTGTTTCACAGAATCACAGAATAGTAGGGGTTGGAAGGGACCTCTGTGGGTCATCTAGTCCAACCCCACTGCCGAAGCAGGGTCACCTACAGCAGGCTGCACAGGACCTTGTCCAGGCGGGTCTTGAATATCTCCAGAGAAGGAGACTCCACAACCTCCCTGGGCAGCCTGTTCCAGTGCTCCGTCACCCTCAGAGGGAAGAAGTTCTTCCTCATGTTCAGACGGAATTTATTTGCTTATTAGACGGAGTTTATTTGCTTATCTTCTGTTTACCAGAGCTGAAACATGAGCTGCAGCGCTGGGATGGATCTAGCTGAGCACTCTTTTTTCTTTCCCAGAATGTTAGATTTTTTAGTAGTTCAACTTGAGAAATGTCTTTCATTTTTAAAGATGAAACCTGTATCTAAATCTGATTAGGATGCAACTTATCTCAAATTCCAGGAAAATTCAAACTAATATTTAAGTCTGACTTTATATCCAGTGACTGTAACCCTGACCCTATGCAGACTCCTATGTTACATGTATCTTCCGTAAATAAGCTGCCTCCCTGGCTTTGATGAGATATGTCAACACGAGCAGATGATTTTTTTTCTGAAATAAGAACCTTAGTCTTTGTTTTAGGGAAGGGTTTCTTTATGTTAAACAATCTTGTGTTTAGTGGAATATTTGAAAATGTTCATATTTGAATTCCATTAGAAACATACCTTCAGCAAATTTTGTCTTATGAGTTCATAGTGCATAAATGCAGGATTATATAAAAGACAAAGTTAAAATTTGATTAACTAAAAATAATTAAGAAAACTTACTCCAATAAGATAAATGTATGAATTGTTTACAGATAAAAAGTTAGAAATAATAAGGAATCACTGTAAGTATTGAAGACCAAACAATATACCCATGCAGTTCAGTTGTCAATATAAAATTTCTCATGAAGATGGTTTCAGCAATACATGGCCAAGATAAATGGAAGATATCAATACACAGGCAAATAAGACAAAGTTATTTTTTAGCAGTTGGTACACTTTAGAGAAACTTCTTAAGTAATGAAAGCCTGTATTTGCTGCCTTTAGGCATGGAAATACTGTTTTTTTTGTAAATTGGATGCATGTCAAATATTATTTCTCCCAGACATGTTCCCGTGGCAGAATAGCAGCAAGTCCTCGACCTCTTGGCTGTGTGACTGTCCTCCTTGTTTACACCCCAGAAAGTCTTATCATAGCTCCAAGAGGGATAGCAGACCCTCTTTTCAGTACTTCACTGTCTTTAACTGTCAAAGGCAGAGAAAGAAATGAAGAATTCACCTACATATTTTAGTGATTGATTTAATTCTTAAATGGAGGGAAGTCAGCATTATGAATATGTGAATTAATTGCCTGCTGAAATAATGAATATGTGTGAAATCTTTTACCAAGTGTGTAACAAAAGAAGAAAGAAAAAAATATTCTGAATAAAAGAAAGATTAAATATGCCTTTTGATTTCTTATGAAAGGGGAATTTTAAAAAGAAAAAAAAGGGAAAAGAAGGATTTCATACAGTTTTCATAATTTACAAGGACTTCAGTTTTTGGATATAGGCATCATGTTTCCATATGTTAAAAAATGATAGTTTTGATTTTATGATTTTCCTTGGTGGATGTCTGAGACAAATACATGCATCATTACTGGCCGAATCTTTTCTTCATTGGAGATTACTAGAAATCCAGATGATGGAGAGTACTCTATTTATTTTTTCCTTATATGCAAATAAGCCTATTTTTTTTTTAACAGAAGGAAAATAAAGTCAAGCAATGCAGTATTCTCGTTTTAGGCACAATCTTGGGAGGAACTGATGGATATTAACACTGTTCATCTCATGTATGCTATTATACTGCAAAGTAAACTCGTAACACTGGAGAATAAAGACCCTTTGTTAGAGAGTGAAAAATTCAGCTCATCCCAACTAAATCTAGGCAGACTGAGATGCCCTATTAGGATACTAATTGTCATGGCTCCTCGGTGTAGTTGTCTACTTAAAAGGATACAGAAGTCCAGAGATGCTTTCACATACTGCTCAAATGTTTGATTTATAGTATGTTTAAAAAAGGGTATTTTATAGAGTGATATGTTTTATGTTACAGAATAATGTCTAAACGTAATATTAAGTATATGCATTGTTATTGTTGTTATTAACAGTTACACAGACTAGACTTTTTCACTCCCAGTTTGTTTGGGGTGATGCATGCTATTCAGACTGATACCAGAACTACGTTTTAAAACTAAGGTACACTACAAAGACAGATGTATTTGGAACTCATGGACTTACTTTAACATGTCATATTAATTTTAGCTTAACCCCCTGGTAGCGTTAACTTATTAACAACATCTTAACCCTCTTTGCCAGCAATTTTTCATAGATGTAAACTAAAACATAACTACGTCTTTACCTTTGAACAGGTGAGGGTGTATTAAACTTCCAGTGGTCCCTTCTTCTGAATGTCTTCTGCTTTCCTTCTGAAAATCTGCTACCTCAAATGAAAACTGGTTCAACACAATTAATATTCTAAGAAATTGTTTTCCAGTATGATCTCACACAAAAGAGTCCCTAGAAATTCAGAACTTGTAAAGTTATTTTCACAACTGAGAAAATTTAACAAAAGGGAGGTTCAAAAATGGATTAAAATCGTTAAGAACTTTTCCATCACATGAAAACTACATCAAAGCATAATACAGGAAACCATTTTTTTTAACTTTCAGTTTAATATGGTTTTAAACTGCCTAAAATACCATTTTTCAAGTTCATGTAGCAAGTTATATTACGTTTTTAAAGAAATGCTTAATTTTATGTTTTCTGACAATTTTCTTTGTGTGTCTATGCGTGTGTGTATTTTTCTCATTGTCTTAGGAGAGAACAGGTGGATACCCCACCAAATAAAATTGGTCACTGAAGTGAGTTCATTAAGCATGTGTTAACAAGATTAGTCTTAATTAGATAAGCTTTGAAAACAATAATTCAATTTCTGAATCTGCTCTAAATATTAGCATCCTTTTCCTCATTTTCATTATGGTTCTGATCAAAATCCATTTAATGGTAGTTCTGAAACTCCACATGCCTTCAGGAGGGTCCAGTATTTTGTCTTACAGTTTATGGTTTTGAAAGAAATGCAAGAAGAAATGGTATTAAGAGCAGATAAAACAGTGAGCACAAAGTGAAACACTTCTCATGCTATATTTTAATTTTGGTGGAGTATGCGGGAGGGTGAGCTCTCTGTTAGCTCAGTTCACATCATTTAACATATGTCTCATTTTTGTTTTCCTACAAAAAGATTTGTGTGTAATGCTGACAGAGAGCTCAGAACTCTTGATCAGAATGAGGGCTAGTCTCTGCTTCCAGTAAAGGTGCACTGGAGACTATAGATGTTGAGGGAAGACTTCCATTCTATAAGTAGACTGTTTACTAATAGTGTAACAATATAAATTACTGCTTTTTTGTTACTTCAGCAAATTGGTGTGGGCATACCAAAAGTTAAATTGAGAAAAAGGAGACCCAATGTGCAGGTAACTTTGGATGGAGGTGATTAATGCATTAGAATGCATAGACCTGGAAATACAATTAGAAAGCTTCTGCCCTGCTTACTAGGAAAAATCTAACTAGAGAACTGTTTACTTTGACAAACAGCTTCCAGAGCATGAAGCCTGCATCCTTCCTTGCTTAAATAATAGAAAACATGTTATTGGCTGTAGTGAAGGGCATTCCGTTAAATTATGGTGCTTTACTAATAGGTGCTAATTAGAGCCATGCTGTAAAAATTATTCTTCAGATTTTGAAATGAATTTGAAGACTGGGAAAAAAAAAGAGACTACTTGTGCTGGCTTTGCTTGCATAAACCAAAAGTCAAGAGATCATTCTTACAACTTTTTTGACAGGTTTTATTGTACAGTGTATGCTGTATAACATTACAGAATTCAAATGAACCATTCAGTTTTTTTCTGGGGAAGTCAGAGTAGGGCATATGTTTATCTGCTTTTACATTGAGTTTCTCAGTTTAACAAACACAGCTTCAGAGGATTAACTGCCATTAAGCAAACAGGGAAAAGGAAATGGTAACAGTTATGTAATGCAGTCCCCGAGCAGAAAACACTTAATGAAAACTTAAAAATCATTAAAGGAACAGATTAATTATCTAACCAGTAAAATAACAACATTAGATACAGTATATCAATGTTAATTTCTTACACATACGGGAATATGTAATGCAGAACTGGTGGCTTGCATAACAGCACCAGTAAAACATGGTGTAAAATCCTGAGCTAATTCAATTCAGTGATTTCACCAAGCTTGAAGCGGCTGTGTTTATACCACATCTAGAAGACCACCTCTGGCCTAGATTTTTTGTTTATGCACTGGAGAAAGCAGCACTGGAACACAAAAAAATCTCAGTGTTCTGAGCCGCCTTGGCTCCTCAGCGTGCCGGGCTATGATTTGGCTACTGCTGGGTTTGCGTGGCAGTTCTGGCTGCCCAAGGAAGTGCAGCTCTGGGCTCCAGTCCACTCCAGATGCTCCGGGGTCTCCCTCTGGAGCCCAGGATTTTGCTGCCTTCTTACGATCGTTTATTTTAAAAGCCTAACAGCCCGTGTCTTCATTAGTACTGCAGGTATAAGCAGGAAGTAAGCTCCTGCAACTCGCACCACAGAAGACTTCCATAGAATTTTTGAGAATACCGACCTCCCAAAACACACGACAACGGCATTTTAATGATCTTTTTTTTATGTTGCTGCACCAGTTCTTTCTTTCTTTGTTTCCTTCTTGGTTTGTCATTGAAGTAACAGATCTTTGCCTTTATGCTGAAAATGGATTGCACTCCCTTTATTTGCATGCTTCATTGCTAGTGATTTACTTCTGTTTTCTTTTGTTACGTTGTGCTGGTGGGTGTGGTGGTGGTGTGCTTATTCTAGTCATGTCGTGTGCATGACTGGATAAAGAGAAGAGCAAACTGAAGAGTAAGTTTGTTTCTTCGTGGCTTGGAATAAACACCCCTAAATGGCAACCTTGGAAGAAAAAATTATGGAGCCCAAATACTGGTAAAAACACATGCTTGGGGGAAATAGACATAGTAGGGAGAATGGTCTTCTATTTAAAGTACGGGTCTTGGAATTTTCTATTCTAATTTCTAATGGATTTCTTTGTGCCTGAGGCACATAACATAATGTATCTACACATACTTAGTTTCTTCATCTATTAAAAATCATTAATTAAGTATCTTATGACGAATGTGTGGTGATATAATGTAAGTCTTATAAAGAACAGGAGCAAACATTTAATATATACTTGAATTTTGACATACTGTTAAAGTTGACTATTTTGTCTTTGGGACTCCTTAACTATGGCTAGCCCAGGTTATCATTTGAAATGAATATTGACCTTGATTTGATGTGATGGCTTTTGGTTTTCTTTTTTTTACCATTTCTTTTCTTCTCTGTTCCTTTGTGTGTTGAAATGGAATGTGAACTTCACAAATGCCTCCTCTGCCATGCCATTGCCTTCATGCATGCTGTTTGGGTTTGACCATGCTGTTCATTACCCATTGCATGTAAGAAAGTTTATTTTTTAATTTATTTTTACATTTTAGCTTTTTGCTATTTATTTTGAGAGTGTGGATTTGTTGGGGGGGGAAAAAGCAATTGCATAACAATAATTAAACTGTTTTGAATTAGTAGAGAGCATATGTTAATGCTATTATATTAAAGTTACTAGTTTTATCTATCCTATATAAATAGGAACATAAAAATCTATTTGAAGTTATCAGTAGACATTTAAAAGCAATATCTGGAACCTTTGTCTGAAATATTTCCAGTGCATATTCTCGTTCTGAGAATAAATTTGTTGGCTTTTCTCTTAGGAGACAGTAAGTCTTACTTGTTAAGAACAGGAAAGATTCCATATACCCAGAAACGTGCACATTTGTTCAAGAATATGAAGGAATAATTTTTTTTCTTCTAACAATATTCTATATTACAGTCTTGAAAATAAGGACTATTGTTAAGCTCTTAATGCTGCAGACTGTTTAATGAAGGCATCTTTTACGAGCTATTCAGGATGTAACTTTCTTCCAGTACATATATATATTTATATATATATACACACACACACAGGAAATATGTACATAAATTGTAAGGAGACATGCTTGCATTCTTTGATAGAATAGTCGCATGTACATTTGTCATGTACCTTTGCCAAAAATGTTAGGATAGAACAAATTTAATAATAATTTTGAAAGAAAGGACTTTAGTCTACCCTGTAAATAAGTTAGTGTATCTGAATCACTGAAATTCTCTAAAATTGTCAGAATTTACACTAGTCTTGAAATACTAGTATCAGCTAATGACAACTTCTGTGTTGCTAGTCATTTGAGAAACAGTGCTCAGTTACTGATAAAACTAGGCCTTGAGATCTTTTCATGTATGAACTGTCCTATTACACAAAGCAAATTATTATCAGTTAAAATAAATTGCTAAATCTGGAATTTCTCATCTTCTGTTCTAAACTATCAGATTTGAATGACTAAATAACACACCCCATACTCTTTTTTCTAAAGATCCTTTGTTAGGTGGGTGCACTGTATAACTACTGAGTGGTGAGGATTGAGGATTTTTACACCACATGTGATATAAAGTCAATGGGCTTAGCCAAAATTACTCAAAATAAAAGAGTCAGATTCCTAACAACAGGTATGGAAGATGGCTCTGCCCAAGTAAATGCAGACTGCAACTGAGAAGGGAGTAGAGGCTGGATGGGGATCTGAGCTGGGTCAGCAGAGGTACAATGGGCT